GGTGAGAGCAAGGCACTGGGGGAAGGCACTGCACGGAACACAAAGAGACAGTGGGTGAGAGCAAGGCACTGGGGGAAGGCATTGCAAGGAACACAAAGAGACAGTCAGTGACAGCAAGCCCAACAGGGGCTACCTAAGGGGTCTATGAATCCCATGTCACCGCCCAGGCTTCCCCAGTTCCCGATGACTTCATGCCCACTTGGGGGTGGCCCATGTGTGTCAGAGTAGAGACTCATTCCAAGTAGTTGTCAGTGGCTGAGTTTCTGCAAGCAGATTACTAGACCTTTCCTCTGACGTACCTGAGTGAACCTGAATCTTTACCCTTTCAGTCAGCAGCTGAGCACCGAACTGACATATGGGATGCACTTTACCTGACTTGTTAAGTGCCATCAAGTCAGGTCTGACTCACAGTGACCCTGCTAGAGGGTTTCCGAGGAGCAGCTAGCGGATTTGAACTCTCTACCTTGTGGTTATAAGCACAACGCTTATCCCACAGCGCCACACCAGGACTCGAAAACACTGACTTCAGGCCGTTTACTACCCTTGGTCATTTTCCAATTAAACAGCCTGTTCAGCACATCCATACATTGCTAACATCTTCATCTAATGAGGCGTGGGTGGTTTGGGAGCCCTGGTGGCACTGTGGATTAACCATTGGGTTGCTAACTGCAAGGTTGGAAGTTCAAATCCACTGACTGCTCTGCAGGAGAACAATGAGGTCCTCTGCTTTCATCAGATTTACAGCAGTCTTGGAAACCCTATATAGCATCACTATGAGTTGGAACTGACTTGATGCAGCTGGCTGGGTTGCGTTTTACTCAGGAGAGCTGGGTTTGCTTCCAACAGAACTCACGCACAACTGCCATCCATTGGTCAGTGAAGACTTGCAGGTCGCTGTGGTGCTGAACAGAGCTCACTGTCTAGACTGAGACAGATGAAGAAGGTCGAGAGATGGACTTTCAAAACCCAGCCAATGAAACACTATGGGTCACAATGGTCCCATCCACAACCCATCACAGGGAGGGTGAAGGAACTCACAACATTCTTCATTAAATCAACTTCTGACCAGAACGGTTCCTAGAAAGAACATGTGCAGTTTACTTAGCAAACACACAGTGACGTTCTGAGTGAAGCAAAGCTCTGCAGTAACCTGCTTCACCACACATACCGGCGAGCTGGCTCCAAGCGCTGACTTCACAAAACACAGCAGCACGCGGATGGGAAGCTCAACCCGTTATTCAGCAAAATGTGTGCTTTTAGGTAACATGAGATGTGTGTGGCCCAATGTCTTCAAATGCTTAAAAATGATCCTTCAAAACAGCTGTGTGGCAACCTGCCTTCCGCGGACCCTGAAAAACCATGGTTTAAGTTCTGGTCCACTATTTTGAGCAACTGTTGAAGCTGCCTGTGTAAAATGCCACCTTTTAAAAAATGAAGTCGAGCTACATGTATGAAACTTGGTTTGAAACTATCAAGAGATGGTCCCGGCAAAGATAACGTCTTCTAAACAAAAGGTGTGTGGCTTGAAAAGCAATGGGTATAACGAGATACCTCAGTGTTTTCTTCCTTTCTTCTGTACATAAAAAGCTACTAGAGACTGAAGGACATTCTCTCAGATGGAAACAGACCCAGAGGCTTCTCCCCAGCATCCCTCCCACCAAAGTGATTGTTCTTTGTCTTAGAGCTTGCTTAGACTCTGGCTTCCTGTAACAAACCATCGGAAGAAATCTATTCTAGTTGGCTCCTTAAAGGCGTAAAAGGATTGGGTTTCTAGATGAATCCCATGTATCTTTTCTAGACTATTACTAAGTCACCTGGGCTCCCTTTGTTGTTGTTGGGTGCCGTTGAATTCATTCCTACTCACAGTAACCCCATGTACAACACAATGAAACACTGCCCGGTCCTGTGCCATCTTCACAATTGTTGGTATATTTGAGACATTGTTGCTGCCACCGCCTTGATCCATCTTGTGGAAGGGGTTTCCCCTTTTTCACTGACCCTCTACTTACATGTTGTCAGGAGGGACCAGTCGCTGGAGAAGGATATCATGTTTGGTTAAGGTGGAGGTTCAGTGAAGAAGAGGAAACCCCTCAGCGAGATGGATTAGCAAAGTGGCAGCATCAATGGGCTCAAGCGTGGCAACAGTTGTGAAGTTGGCCCATGACCAGGCAGTGTTTCGTTCTGTTGTACATAAGGTCGCTATGAGTCAGCACTGACTCGATGGCACCGAACAACAGCAACTAATTTTCCTAAGCCACCACATTGGCCTTCCAAAAATAGCATCTACCAGTGTTTCTCTTTTAAGAGGAAGTCATGGGAATTAGTAAATAAAGTAGGAAGAGCCTATCATGTTACCTGAATAGGTTAGAGCCCTGCGGTGCCATTGTTGAATAAGCACTGGGCTGCAAGGTCGGATTGAACCTCAAGGTTGGCAGCTCAAACCCACCAGCTGCTCCTCGGAAACCCTGTACAGGGTCGCTGTGAGTAGGAACCAACTCCATGGCCCTTAACAACGATAGCTCACAGAGGGAGTCTGGACAGGAAGTACACCTGGGCCTTCATGACCATCACCTACCACCCTCCTATGAAATTCAGTATAATGGAGTGAACTGTGTCCTCCCAAAAGTGGCATCCCAAACGTGTCCTTGGAAGTATGACCCTGTTTGGAAATAGGAGTGTTAGTGGTTTAGATGTTGATGAGATCATACCAGAATAGGTGAGTTCTAGTCTTGGTGTGGCGCTGTGGGTTAATGCATCAGACCACAAAGTCGTTTGAACTGCAAGGTTGGTGGTTCAAGCTTACCGGCTGCTCCTTGGAAACCCTATACAGGGTTATTATGGGTTGGAATTGACTAGACAGCACTTAACAACAACAACAACAACAACAACAATGCTAATCTCTGTGCAGTGGTGTCTACTCAAATGGGAGACGAGACCAAGGGAGACACCAGCACAGGAAGGACGCTGAGAGACTGTGGAGTCTCAGTGCTTCACTATCCGGGGCTACTGGACGCTCAGAGAGACACAGAATGGCCTTGCTCTAGAACGAGTGCTCTGACTTGGACGTGGTGCCTCCAAACTGTGAAGGAATCCATTCCTGTCCCTAAAACCCCCCACCTGTGGCGTTCTGTTGGAGCGGCCCGAGCTAGCAAAGACCATTCATGACCCAGATCACAAGACCTAGGCTCGGATCCAGGCTCTGTGTCCATCTGCTCTGGGCAGGATGGGCAAGAAGACGGCTTCTCAACGAGCCATGGTGTGGATAAGGTGGCATAAGGCTGAAAAGGGTTAACAGGCACTTGGCACTAGGTAGGGACTCACCAGGTGTTGTGTGAAAACCCAGGTCCCTTTCCTAAACCGCCAGCCAATCTACCAAGTACCTTACAGACTGGTTTTGGCTTTTGGGGGGAGGAGTTCGTATCCCCACTAGAAGATGGGCTGCATGTAGTCTGTTTCTGCTCACTGCCCGGCACATAGCAGGTGCTCAATAAACACGCACACACTAAGTGATCACTTAAAACCTAGAAAGGCCACAAGAGGACACTTCAACAAGGTCATGGAGAAATGGAATGACAATATCCTGGAATGTTCCTACAAACTTTTGAAGCCCCCCTGTATACATGAAACCAAGTGAGGGATTGGTCAAAGGCAGTTAGAATCCCCCCTGGCTCTGCCTGTTGGCTGCACTGTGGTGCCGTGAATGATTTAATATGATCCTTCTAGCCAGGGTCTTTGTAACTCCCACCAAAGGATGGAATTGTAAAGTGCCGTCGAGTGTGTTCCGATCCATAGTGACCCTGGATAGGGTTTCTGAGGAGCTGTTGGTGAACTTGAACTGCTGATCTTGCAGTTCAAATGGATTTTGCAGCCCAGTACATTAATCCACAGAGCTACACCAGGACTCCAGAGGATGGGGTGGGACCGTGCAAGTGAGGTGCTGTTGTTGTTGTTAAGTGTTGCGTTGGTTCTGACTCACAGCACCAGCCTGTATATAGGTTCCAAGGAGCAGCTGCTGGGTTTGAATCACCAACCTTAGGGTTTAACAGTCCAGTGCTTATCCTACCACGACACACCAGGATTCCAAAAAAGGTGTTGGTTGTTGTTAAATGCCGTCGAGTCGGTTCCGACCCACAGCAACCCTGTAGAGGGTTTCCAAGGAGCAGCTGATGAGCTTGAACCACCGACCTTACAGTTCAAACAGCTTTGCAGTCTGGCACACAGTGCCACACCAGGACTCCAAAAATGGTGTATGGAAGTTTAATATAAGGAATGGTTCTGTTTTGCCATCCCAGAGGCAGATAAAGAATCTCACGACCACTAGGGAAACACGAACCAGGAGTGAAGTGTGTCCTTCAGGTCCGGGGTCTCTGCACTGGGAACCACTGTGATTCCGAGACAGGTGGGAGATGGATGCTGAGATTCTGGGTCCATGAAGTGAGAAAGCGGAGTGCCTCAGGCAGGAGGTTTGCTGGTGGAATGGGGTTCCTCCTGCCAACCCTGGAGCAGAGCTGAGTGCAGACTGGGGTGCCTCTGGGAGCTTATCATCTGCACTGAACAAGCCTTGACACAGGTAC